AACTGAAACCTTCTGATGATGCAGTTAAACACAAAGTTAAACACAAAGACTTTCATTTACAGTTAAGTCTACAGTTTCATTGCACGTGTACAATAAATACGAATAAAGGGCTGTTCTATTCTAATTTACTCCAGCAGCATTTTTTTCCTGCAGATGAAATTCTGCTCTACTTTTTCTTGTTCTGAGATATTTCCAGTATCAAACATGTAATTAAACCTCTTTAGAATAGTTTCACTGAGTTTGACTTTTGGGGTCTCGGTCTCTCTGGGAGCCTGGCAACGCTCTGGTTGCCATGGAAAAATGTGTGTTTAACCAGGTGGCAAGTAGTTGCAGACTGCTGCTCAATGAAAACGGTGACAAAGACTCTTTCTGTTTTCAGTCTGCAAGTTTGATGTTTCACATTAAAATAAGGCAGCAACACTCAGTGATTGGCTGGCTCAGGCTGCTTCTTTCCTGCGCGGCTTGTTTCAGCATAATGACAGCTGCTGAGACGGCCTCACAAAATCATCAAGTTTCTGTGGATATTTTCTTAACTCATTGGTGCAGATGTGTGCTCTAATGATAAATATCACATTCTGATAAATGTGAAACGCTTTGCTGTGGGTTCATAAAGCAACGAGCGCTCCATCATTAAACTACGCAGTCGTGCGTTTCAGGCAAAGAGACACATGTTTGACGGGTGTTGATTGGCTCTTTGAGGAAGGGGCGGGACCACAGATTTCTATCGAACATACTTCGAATGTTTCTTCTTTGTAATATCTCCGACTCCTTTAACTTCCTGCTTTGGTTTTCCTTAAATTACAAAAGTGGGTTTTAAAGGGCAACGCTCCAGTTTTAGTCTGAATATAATTTTAACCAAATACATCCGACAGGAGCCGGTTTGTGTTTAATTTTTCACATTTTTAGACCCTTTTCTGCAGATGACAGGTGCCTCTGTAGAGGAGCGATACAGAGACACGAATCAGGCCGATGAGTCACTGCAGTCACTAAATTCAAACGCACGTTTTCTCGTTAGACTTTAAACTGCTCTTTCTCGTCTTCTTGCTATTTTTTCCATCCTATAAAGAGCTGATGGTGTTTTTCCTGCCAGCTCAGCAGCAGCAGATGAAGTCAGCTGACATTCATATCTGTGTCATTACAGAGAGCGCCGTTATCAGACGCCGATCGTGTAGCGGCAACATTAACAGCAGGCCGGAGGACTTCCTGCAGCACTGTATGTGAATCTGAAAATAACCCAGAGTGGGCTGCAATGAGCTGTAGCGCCTTTAATGTGAGTCGCTGATACATGTGCCTGTTGTGGGCTTTTTGCACTTTTGCTACTATAATAAACCTTTTGTTACCAACAAAGCGACTGTTATGCTGTCTGCTGCACAAACATGTCCTTCCTGGAGGCTGATGTAGCGATCAGGCGTAGCATGACCCTGAAGGTGTGCTGTGGTATCTCCACCAACATGTTAGCAGTATGTCCTCTAAGTCCTCTAAGCTGCGAGGCGGGCCACCATGGATCGGACTCGTTCGAGCTACAGCAGCTCGCCTTCGATCTCTACGTGCATCAGTGAGCCTGCAATGACCTGCAGACCAGAAACACCTACAAGAGCTGCAGATCTGCAGACGCTCTGACCCAGTCGTGCCTGTCTGATGGGTGTAATAACTAGCAACCAGCTGTATGTGTATGTGTGTATCGTCAGCAACACTGAAAAACATGCCGTCATAACTCAGGACCAAAGACTGTATGTAAAAGGCGGACATCGCCACGATGCAACACTTGTGACAGTCGCATTGATTCCTGTTTGTTGGGTTAAAATCCTTCGTTGCTCAAAGATCAACGCGTGTCAGGTTAACGCTCCACCTGAAGAGTCTCACCAATGAAAACAGAATAAATGACAATTAAATGAAAGAAAAAGAGTTCATTTAAGGTCGTACAGCCGTCAGTTGCTCTTCTAGGAGTAA